CCCCCCCCCCCCCCCCCCCCACATGCTCCGACAAACGGTTGGGCCCTTCGACCCAGTGCTCGGACAAGTAGGCTCAGCATGTAATACAAGTGCCTCAATAACTAGAATCGGGATCTTGGGGCATATCATACTCCAATATAAATGTATCAGGGAACCGTCAGGACGAGTGTTGTAAATTATCAAGGATTCTGTATTATGCACTTCCAGCATGGAATGCACGTGTTAATGCTAAGTACAACACGACATCGCTCGCAAGCTTTACCAAATTGGTCCCGACATTTCCCCACAATCCCAAACCCTAGCCCGGAATCCCAAGCCACTCGAAAGAAACTAGAGAATTTCAGAAGGAGCAAGTTTCTCGAAAGAGACTAGAGAATTTCAGAAACGAACCTGGCTTTGAACCCTCAACCGGAGGCAGGATCTTGAGGACGCCAGGCAAAGGCCCCCCGAGGCTGTAGCCCAAAAGGCTTCAAGCTTTAGGGTTTACGGTTTAGTGTTTGGGTTCGGGGTTTAGGGTTTATAGGGTTTAGGGTTTAGGGGGTTTAGAATTTAGGGCTTGTCGGTAGCAAGAAAACTGGGCCCTTACTACGGTGAAGGCCACACTATCACTACCACCAGTACTATTCCTAGTGCTAGTGCTGCTGCTACTACACTTATAGTGGTGAGAAAGCAAACTAGGAGGCAGGGAACAGGCGGCGGGAGGGAGGAAGAGGCGGAATCAATTCCTAGGGGGACAGCGATGCTGATCAGCGGAGGGTTGCTGCCAAAGCAAGATAATATGCATTGGTCCGGATATAAACGAGCTGTTTGCAGAAAGGGTTTGAGGACGCCTGTGGTTCAGGTCACTTGTAGATGTAGGATTCTTCTGGCAGTAGTTACGACCGTATGACAGCAAAGGACATATACCCGCAAACATTAGTCTACTCTTTGCGAACATTAACATCCGAATGCATCGCGCCTGCTTGTGCAGGGGGGCCCCAAGCGGAATCACGTGCGCAGCGTTGCCGGCTAACTCGCCGACCATTTCGACAACTTCATCGGCTTCCCCCTCCTTCCTGGTTGGAAGCCAAAAGGGGTTTAGGTTTAGGGGTTCAGGGTTCAGGGTTTAGGGTTTAGGGTTTAGGGGCTTTCCAAGTAGTTGGGTTTGGGATTGATCCCAGCGTCAGTTGCGTCAATCCTTTCGGAAACCCCCCTTTCCAAGACTGCGCTTTACAGTCAAGGGCTGGGCCTTAGGGTTTCAATTGCGGAGGACTGAACCGTCAACTTTAACGCTCTAAACCTCAAAGCTGCGGCCATAAGTCTGACATCCTCAACCCGAACAGAACTCCCTCGTAAATCTCCAAAGGCATACGCACGCAACCGCGCGCCGGTGACTCTATACGCCATGTAGACTGTAGACCTTGGTAACCAGACCCTGCACCCCGCACCCCGCCGTCCATAAGCAAGTAAGCCCAGAACCCTGAATTCGACCCCTTGAGCATATTCCCTGAATCCCGAACCCTTAACTCTGAAACCGGGTTTGGCTTCAACAGTTTGCTTCGATGGCGGTGAGTGTGGAGCATCATGCTAAGGCTTTCTGGTCTGCAAAACCCGGTGCCGTGAGGCGGACGTGGCCGTGATTACTGTATGTGGGCCTGGGTGAAAAGAATGTGGGATTGATGGGGACTGTTGTTTCGGCAACTTGGCGAACCTAGTAAATCAAGCCCATCCTGCAATGCTACGGGCCACACTGTTGTGTGGTTCCGGCCAGTCCGTTGCCAGTTATTTGTCTTGTGCTTGACGCGAAACACCTCTCCCACTGCATGGTCCCGGGTAACCAGCGTAACCAGCTTTTAGGGCTTAGGGCTTAACCGTAAACCCTAAACCCTAAACCCTAAACCCTAAACCGTAAACCCTAAACCCTAAACTTGAAACTTGTTGGAACCCGTAAGTCCTCAACCTTCTCTACCATAGCGCAAGCCCACACGTTTCAAACACACTTGCTTCAATTGCCCCCACCGTGAATCCCTAAACACACCCTTATAAACCTTCCTCTAAAACCCTTAAACCAAAGTCCCCTAAGTCCAAAGCCCCTTCTACACCCTGACCCCCGACACCCCAGAGCCCTTATCTCCCAAACCCTTCCTAAACTCCCCAAAGCGGAAAGCAAAGCCAGGTCACCCCAAGAGGAGAACCACCCTGGTGGAGACCGGCCCGGATCCTCGACTTTCAAGTAAAAAGGGGGAGAAAAAAGTAGAGACTTCTATTTCATAATGGTTCCTTTACGGAACAGGTACAAAAAAAAACAACGTTCTAGTACTTGAAGGAACAGGCCCGATAAAAATCATTCAAGTATGGTACCCTAAACCCTAGACTACTCCGGAACCCAGGATCGGGTCGACACAACGGGGCCCTTCCAAAGCCACGGCTTCTGAGCCGCGGAGATCTCATTCTCGGCCTTCGCTCTCTCGGGCAGGGCTTTAAAGGGCTTCTGTGTGCGAAGATGGGTTTTATAGTGCGCGTTATGGGGATTTATATGGGCGGTCTTGTTGAAAAAGGGTCTTTGTAAGGCTTTGCGAAGGGTGTTCAAAAGGGTTCCATAAGGGCTTATAGTCATGCTGACATCTGATTACTATCCTACCCTCCCTTAATACAGATTAGAGTAGGCATCTCATGTTAAGCCTAAGGCCCATAGAAGAGAGGGGGCCAGTGATCCTTGGTTTGCATTAGAGCTTTTCGAGTTTTGGGCTACTTCAACCCTGGACCCGTCATCTTTGGTTTGGGCTGCTTTGAGTTACCGCCGTAAAACTTTAGAAATCCTGATTATCAGAGACCCGATGCAGCCCCATCAAAACCCTCTATGCAACCTACAAGCCCCTCGTGGGGCTCCCTGCCCCAACTAAAACGAAAACCGCAACCTCCCATCAGCCCCAAAAAACCCTTGAACAAAACCCTTAAACTGTGGAACCCTACACCTACGCCCTACACCCCTAGACTTAGGCCCTACAAACCTCTAAACCCCTAAACCCTGAACCCTAGACCCCTGAACCCCTGAGCCCCAAAAATCAGCAAAGCTCACCCTCAATCCTAAAACCCTAAAACCCTAAAACCCTAAACCCTAAACCCTAAACCCTAAACCCTAAACCCTAAACCCTAAACCCTAAACCAAGCCAAGATGCAGCCAGGCGCCCTGCAGGCGCCAGCTGGCCCAGCACCTGCGTTCTTGGGCGGAGGGTTTAGGGGTTTAAGGGTTTTAGGGTTCAGGTCCTAGGGGTTTAGGGGTTTGGGGTTTAGGGTTGAGTTGAGGGTTTATAGGGGTTTAGGGGTTTAGGGTTCAGGTCCTGGGGGTTTAGGGGTTTAGGGTTTAGGGTTGAGTTTAGGGTTTAGGGGTTTAGGGGTTTAGGGATCAGGTCCTACCTGTTTGAGTCTTACGGGCCTAACTTTCGGGTTTCAGGATCAGGGATCTCTTGGGGCTCTTCCGTCTCCGAGCTTAGTGTCGGATTGAGTGTTTGAGGGTTTGGGTTTAGGGTTTAGGGTTTAGGGTTTAGGGTTTAGGGGATAGGGTTTAGGGTTTAGGGTTTAGGGTTTAGGGCCTCCTCGCAATTGCAGGCAAATGCAAGGGAAGCCTGTGATATTCATTACAAGGCTGGTCTTGTGATCCCTATAGCAACCTACAGTACCTTAATCACCCTAAACCCTAAACCCTAAACCCGAGACCCTACAGTACCTTAATCAAACCAAGAAGTACCTTGAGTCCCAAAGGGTCCAAGTACTAGTATAGTATGTACTTTTTGGGGCCAAAATACCTACCAAGTACCTACTATAATGGTACTTGGACCCTTTGGGAGTCCCTGGTTAATGATGCGCCGTGGCACGTGCTTTCCCACGCCACGGCTGCGGCCAAAAAGTCGCGGACGACACCTCACGAAGTTGGAATCGTCCATCTAGAATAGGGTTTAGGGTTTAGGGTTTAGGGTTTAGGATTTGGGGTTTAGGGTTTAGGGTTTAGGGTTTAGGGCTTAGAAGCCCAGGTTACCACTGGGTCTCGGGTTTAATTCGGGGCCATACTGTTCCTTTATCCCTAAAAAAAATCGACATCCGAAGCCAGTGAGGCTGTAGGAGCCTCAACCCAGCAGCTTCAGCAAGCGGTTTAGGGTTTAGGGTTTAGGGCTTAGGGTTTAGGGTTTAGGGCGACACGAGGCTCTACTTAGAGATTATCGGGACTTAGCAACTATAGGGCTCTTATAGGAACCTGATTAAGCAAGCTTGAGTCTCTTTGTTTTTTTTGGGGGGGCTCTCACAGGGATCCTAATATTTTGGGATTGTAGGCCCCGGGTTCCTTTGTGGGGTTCCTACAGAACCAGGACTAGGGGAGGGATGCGAATATTAGGACCCACTTTAAAACGGGAGTTTAGTAGTCGGGGGTCGGGGGTCGACATTTACCTTATTCTGGGGGGGGTTCCAGTAACCGACTGCTTGCGTCCCCTGATCCATTGAGTAAAGCATGAAGTGTTGCCTCCTCAATCCCGGATGCGGTATCTGGGACGTTGCTATGTGCCAGTTTTTCGCTGGCAGCGGGCCCATTGGCCCTACCACGAAAGCCTAAACCCGTAAACCCGAATCCTTACTCAAGAGGTTTAGGATTCTGGGGTTTGGGGGTCTAGAGTTACTCTCTTACGGTCCGACTCAGCAACCTCGAAACACGGTGAAAGTGGCCAAGACCCTGAACCAAGGCCAAGACAGCCGAAATTCCGAACCTGTGCCCTTAGAACCACATTTTTCAACGCATTTTGAATTCCTAAGTGCTACACCGCAACTGCAAAAGTGCTAGCCCTTGATGCGAGTCAAACCCGAAGCCCTGGAAAATCAAGCTCAACCCTAAAAGTTGTGCCCAAAGAAACCACACCCCTCATAGACTTTATTCATAGTCGGGGAGCTTGAAATTCAACTTACAAGTTTTAGGTTGCAGTTGTATCCTTCAAGACTCGGTTCCTTAACTTATAATGGTGCTGGAGTCTCGATCTGCTGCCCAGGGGGCTGAACGCAAACGTGGGAGCGCAAAAAAGGCTCCGTGACGAGGCCGTGCCCACATATGGCGCGTACAATGAGAAGCTGGGTCCAGGTCAGAACCTTTGTTTGGGTTTCTGGGTTGAGGGGCTTAGGGTTTAGGGTTGCGTATTAGAGTTGAGGGCTTCAGGCCTTTATCGATTGTGGGTTCCGGGGTTTTAGGTCAGGACGTGGGCTGGCTCGAATTATAAATTATGTAACTATAGATGTACTTACTTATGACTGCGAGTAAGGTACTTATCATAACTTTACTTGCTAAGTCCCATGATCCTCCATGTACCGCACTGCAGGATGTGCAGGATTTCATGGGGTTTGGGTTCAGGGTTTCGGGTTTCGAACCCGGCACTATACTCGGAGGCTTGGGAAGTTCACAAGTAGCTAATAAGTCGATTTAGAAGTACCCTAAAACCCCTAAATCGCCAACTCGGGCTCACCCTACTTATGACCCCACTGAACAACTAGTTACTAAGCGCCCATCCTGCAAGCAGAGATCAACATACACCTATATGTAGCGATGTAGCGGTCCCCCTATTTGATTCAGCGCCGGAGCCTGGAGGAAGCTCAGTCTCAGTGAGGCATGAACGGGTGGATTTAGGATTCAGGGGTTCGAACCTGGACGTGAAAGGTTTAGGGTTTAGGAAAATCGCCTCGACGAAGTGCAGGTGGGTGACAGCAGCCACAGCAACAGGGAAACAAATCCCCCCAAACAACTATGTACTTACCTTACCCACACTGCGATAAGTCATACCGAGCTAAACACATTCTTATTAAGGAATTTTCGAGAGGAATCATCGACTTCAAACGGCATCCGAAAAGTTTTGTAGGTCAGAGGAACTGCGCTGTGGTGCAGCTGCGAATGGCGCAACGGCCTCCTCGCCCAGTTGCTGCCTTCCTCCTCTGTGCAGAGGCGAAAGCCCAGGAACCGGCGGAGGACAGCCGGCCACTGTACCTCCTTTGCAGGAGTATGCATGCAAACACACACACACACACACACACATACAGACACTCTATCTATATAAATGAATAAACACATACATGACATCGCGTCACATCAACAATCACATTCTCGTAGCACTACATTGCATTGTGGCACAGAACATTTCATAACTTATAAAATTTACTGTAACCTAGCATCACATTGCACGACATTACATGACTTCGCACCATGCTACACTACATTGCATTGAACTGAATTACGTTACGAAATACACACATAATTAAATCCCTACCATGCCATACCCTGCCATACCACAAATACCATGTCATACCAAACCATGCCACACCATACCATGCCATACCCTAGCATACCATACGGTACTGTACTATACTATACTGTACTATACTATACTTTGCTACGAAAGACTATACGATACTACAATATACTATACTAGACTAGACTATCCTATCCTATCCTATGATATGCTATGCTATGCTATCCTATGCTTTGATATACTATACTATGTTGTACTATACAATACAATACTATACGGTACTGTACTATACTATACTATACATATAAAAAATACATGCGTGAACACATTCAAACATCTACCTACATACTTATCTACCTACCTACCTACCTACCTACCTACCTACCTACCTACCTACCTACCTACCTACCTACCTTCCTACGTGTGTGTGCGTGTGTGTGTGTGTGTGCGTGCGTGTGTGCGTGTGTGCGTCTGTGTTCGCTTCCACATGCCTATCTATCCATCCTCTAAGTCGCGAGTCTATGATCTAGCTATCTTCCCATCTACCCATCTGCCTGTCTATCCGCCTTTCTGCATGCATGTATGTATGTACGTATGTATGTATGTATGTATGTATGTATGTATGTATGTTTGTATGTATGTATGTCTGTATGTATAGCTATATATGTATGTGTATATATATATATATATACAGACACACCTATGCACATGTGTGCGTGCACATGCACACGGCAACAAGTGTACATGCATGCTTATCTCTGCCTATATCTTTACATCTTCATTGGGAGCCACCAATCGCGCTGCACTTAGGTGAGGAACGGACACCTTCAATTACAGCCTGTCGAGCCCTGGTCGAGCCGGTGGATGCCCCGTGAACTCTCCCTGCCGTTTCAGCATGGAAATCATATTCGAAACGATGAACTTAATTAAACCCTCGTGCCCAAACCCAACACCTTCAACTACCCCAAATAATAAACCGCAGCACTAGACCTATACTCAATGCCTCCAACTCTTACACAAACCCTTATACCCCTAAACCCTAAACCTACACACACCCTCATACCCTGAACCCGACGTCCTCGGTATTCAGCAGGTTCTTGAAGAGAGCCTCCGTATCCAAGACCGGACCCAGGGGCTCCTCCATCAGTCTGCTTGATGGCTTCTAGGGCTTAGGGTTTTTGGCTTAGGGTTTAGGGTTTAGGGTTTAGAGTGTGGGATTTAGGAGCAGCTTGCCAATTTGCAGGGTGTTGTGACAAGTGCTGCGGATCTGGCTCTCGCGTTGTTTGCCCAAACGCGGATTGCGGCAATGCTTCCAGCTGTCGATAGGTGTTGTTGTTGTCGTTCAGTGTTTTGATTTCGGGCTCTTTATGACTCAATATGTCTAGGGGCTGTTGTGCCAGCATTGGGGTTCGGGACTTACGGCTTCATAGTTAGAGTCCTGGAGAGAGGTGAGCTGCAGAGACAAGGAAAAGGAAGGCTTGGTGACTGAATAGTGCAAATGTAATTTGTAAGAGGGTGTTCAGGAACGCGTGTGTGTGTGTGTGTGTGTGTGCGTGTGTGTGTGTGTGTGTGTGTGTGCGTGGGTGTGTGTGTGTGTGTGTCTGTGTCTGTGTGTGTGTGTGTGTCTGTGTGTGTGTGTGCGTGTGTGCACCGTGTCCATGACAGCAATGGATCTGAAGTCAGCTGGAGTCGTGGCGTCATGCTTTTTGGCAATCACACTGAGTTCTGTCACACAATGATCTTCGAAGAGCCTCATGCTCTAACATGAAACCGTTAAGTTGAGGATGGTTAAATCTTCGGAAGAAGCTGTATGCCAAGGCTTGGAGGAGTTATATGCTAGAACTGAAGCGCTTGCTCCTTTACGAGCTTTCCTCCTTGAAAAGCCCTAAACCCTAAACCCTCAACCCGAAACCCTAAACTCTAAACCCCTAAACCCTAAACCCTAAAACCCTAAAACTCTAAACTCTGAACCCCGAAACCCTAAACCCTAAAACCCTAAAACCCTAAAACCCTAAACCCCAAACCCTAAAACCCTAAAACCCTAAAACTCTAAACCCTAAATACTGGCTCCGAGTGGGCTCGAGCTCCCAGTCCCACAGTTCCCTGCACTCCAACCTCGCCTCCCCAAGGCTGCTAGGGTTTAGGGTTTAGGGTTTAGGGTTTAGGGTTTAGGGTTTAGGGTGCTCCCTGCACCGAAAAGGCAACTAACCCCCCTACTTTATAAGGGTTGTAGACTTTAAGGGTTGTAGACTTCAAGGGTTATATGGGGAGTTTCCGAAAGGAACCCGAAACACCAGTAAAACAAAAAAAGCCCTAAAAAAGGTTAGGACATCCTAAACCCCAAGCTAAGGCCCCCCATGACCAAGAACAAAAAGGATGTCCTTGTCGCCGGGCTTGAGGGTGCTGGCTATGCCGAGGCCCAACTCATAGGCAATGTCCACGATCTCCTCCTCTCCTGCTGAGCATGAGGGCTTAGGATTAAGGAATTTGGGGCTGAGGGTCTCAGGGTTTAGGGCTTGAGGCGCAAGCTCCGGGTTTAAGGGGTTCGGAATCTAGGAAACAACAAAGTGTTGTTTCGGGCTTGAGGTTTTGGCTTTGGTACTCGCATTTTGGGTTCGGATCCACGTAACCTCCGTGTTTATTCCCACGACCCATAGCCATAACCAACAAGAGCAGAACCAACTCGTGAACCGACACTCCTTGTCAGGCTCCGATATTTCCGGGAGACACCCTGCAGAACCCTTGACACAACCTCTATACTTGTAGATTCCCCATTTCAGCAAATAGGCCTGGAAAGTGAACACCTAAAGCGCCAACCCCTAGTCACCCCAGGATACAACCAATATACCCTAACACTGTAACACCCCAAACTTCGAACTCCTCAGCCCTGCATCCTGCACCCTGAGTCCTAAATCGTGTCCTAAATCCCATAATAACCAAATCAAAACCCCAAACCCCTAAACCCCCAAACCCTAAAGCCCTAAACCCCTAAATCCACAAACCCTGAACCCCAAACCCCAAACCCCTAGACCAAAAACCCTGAACCCCTAGACCCTAAACCCTAGACCCCTAAACCCCTAAGCCCCTGAACCCTGCATTCCTAGGGAAGACGACTCCCGGCGGCCATCGCTGCTACAGGGCTTAGGGTTTAGGGTTTATAGGGTTTAGGGTTCAGGGTTTAGGGTTTAGGGTTTAGGGTTTAGGGTTCTCTAAACCCTAAACCCTAAACCCTAAACCGTCCTCCCCAGATGCATTTCAGCCTTCGGCCGTCGGACCTCGAGTTCTCTCGGGCCCTTCCTACACGGTTTAGGGTTTAGGGTTCAGGGGCTTAGGGTTTATATGCTTTAGGGTTTATAGGGTTTAGGGCTTTAGGGTGTTGGG